TCCTCCCGCAGTATCAGCGAGGACTCTCCTCCCGCAGTATCAGCGAGCACTCCCCTCCCGCAGTATCAGCGAGGGCTCCCCTCCCGCAGTATCAGCGAGGGCTCCCCTCCCGCAGTATCAGCGAGGGCTCCCCTCCCGCAGTATCAGCGAGGGCTCCCCTCCCGCAGTATCAGCGAGGGCTCTCCTCCCGCAGTATCAGTGAGGGCTCCCCTCCTGCAGTGTCAGCAAGGACTCCCGCAGAATCAGTGAGGACTCCCCTCCTACAGTGTCAGTGATGGGAGATTTAGGACAGAGATGAGGAGGAATTACTTCTCTCGAAGGGCCGTGAATCTGTGGATGCTGAGACACTGAACAGTTGAAGGAGGAGACAGACAGACAGATTTTTTAATCAGTCATGGGTTGAAAAGTTATGGAGAGTGGGCAGGAAAGTGGAGTTGAGGCCGAGATGAGATCAGCAATGATAGTATTAAATGCTGGTGCAGGCATGAGGGGCAGAATGGCCTCTTCCTGGTCCCGGTTCTTATGTTCCTACCCCAGACATTTATTTTCGCTTTCATCAATTCCACTGACCCTCTCCTCAGCCTATAGTAGTCAGGCCCTTGCTGTAACAAATACTTGATCCACACACATAAGGAAGCTTCAGAGAGACAGCGACCTACAGTGGTTTCTGTTGTCATGCAGTTTCTTAGTACAAGGGGAGGCAATGGCCTAGTGGTATTATCACTGGACTGTTAATCCAGAGACCCAGATAACATTCTGGGGACCTGGGAATGAATCCTGCCATGGAAGATGGTGGAATTTGAATTCAATAAAATATTTGGAATGAAGAATCTAATGATTGTTGATTGTCGGGGAAAAACCCACCTGGTTTGCTAATGCCCTTTAGGGAAGGAAACTGCCATCCTTACCTGGTTTGGGCCTACATGTGACTCCAGACCCACAGCAATGTGGTTGGCTCTGAACTGCCCTCTGGGCAATTAGGGATGGGCAATAAATGCTGCTTAGCTAGTGATGTCCTGATCCCGTTAATGAATAAAAAAGGACTACATTCCCCAGCCATTAGAGAGCCCCCTCAAGCAAAAAAGGGCCCACGTTTCCTCAGCTGATGACATTTCGGATAGTCGATCCTCATCCGGCCCGCTCTGTGCTCATCTCGGGTGGACTGGGGAGTTGTTGGAGGCAATGTTCATTCCCGAGCTTGGGCACAGCTGGCAAGGTGGGCCTTTGTTACCTGTCACTATTTGCCATTTCTGAGCACAGTAAACAGTCAAAACACCTTGCTGTGGGTCTGGAGTCACGTGGAGGCAGCTTCCCCTCCCTGAGGGAGGGGCGGGGAAACTGAGAGCCAGATGGGTTTCTCCCACAATTGTGGATTGTTGTCATGGTCACCTTCACGGAGACTAGCTCCCAATCCCACCACCTGCCGCGGTGAGATTTGTCCCCAAAGCCTTAGCCCTGATCCTTTGGATTACTGGCCCAATGATATTGCCCCTAGGCCACTGTATCCGGGTTCAAATCCTGCCATGGCAAATGGTGGAATTCAATAAAAATATCTGGGGTTAAGAATCTGTTGATGACCGTGAATCCATTGTCATTTGTCGGAAAACCCATCTGGTTCACTAATGTTCTTTAGGGAAGAAACTGCCATCCTTACCTGGTCTGGGCCTACATGTGACTCCAGACCCACAGCAATGTGGTTGACACTGAACTGGGCAATTAGGGATGGCCAATAAATGCTGTCTAGCCAGTGACACCCTCATCCCATGAATGAATAAAGAAAAAAAACCATGGGACAGGGGTGTTGGGTAAATTGTACTCATTGGCTGCTTAAGAGCAGAGATTTAGAGTTTATAAGGAGAGGTGGTCTCACTCAAACAGAGACGATTCTGAAGGGGACATGTCAGGGTCAGCATTGAGAGGTAGTTGCCCCCTGAGGGGGTACCTAGAGCCAGCTTGTGAGGGCCAGGCCATGTTGGATGGAGATAAGGGGGGGAATTTCTTCATTCAGATGATCTGTGAACCTTTCAAATTCTCTCCCTCCAATTTTAAGGATATTGTGACACCGAAACTCCAGTGAGCACCTGAGGGAGTGCCACACTGTGAGAGGGCCTCGGGGGTGGGGAGGGATGGAGGGGTTGGGGCAGCAGGCAATAAGGGGAGGGAGGAGATGGGGAGAGGGGCTGGGAGAGGGTGCAGGGGCTTGGTGCGTGAGATGGGGTGAGGGGCTTGGTGGGGGAGATGGGGAGAGTGGCTGGGGGTGTGGAAGGGCTGGGAGAGAGGGCAGGGGCTTGGTGCG